TTAATCTACAGGGATAGATTATTCTCATCTGTCTTAGCCCCGTCGAGTTATTGCTAACACTGTTTCCACAGAATCTAAGGCCGTACTACCCGGCATAGGGATTGAACACTCAATAACCATGCCACTAAATTACGATAGTTTAATCAACAGTGAGCAATCCTAAACTTAGAACTTAAAGCAGTGAACCTGTATTTTTATTGCCTGCCTGCTGCTGCCGTTTCTTCTGATCAGTAGAATACAGAACATGGACGAGGAGAGGGTAGGAGGGCCCCAAGCATCCATAACGAGAGAGCATCCACTTAAAGTTTGAAATAGAAATTTAGGTTTTGAAATTTAAAATTATTTCTGTTAACTTCGTTTTAGAAGCACCCTACAGTCCCAAAAGCTGGTGTGAATGTGGATCCGTGTTTTTTTTATAAGCGGGACTGAAGTATGCCCCCTCTCCCTGCTTAAGTCATCAGGACATACAATCAAGAAGTTGGCCCTATCAGCAAACCTCTGCACGTTACTGTTTCTGATACTATCGCACTTAACCGTCTTCAATGTCGCTTCCCACTTTCATTTACTGTTGCTGCCCCTGACAGCTCCAAAAAGCATCGACTATAATCGTAATAATCAAAGCAAAAAAGATGTTGTTTTGGCCTTGTTGCGTCCGGAAATAAAGGCACAAAGAAAGGAATTGAGTTAAACAAAAAATATTAAGAGAAACAGTAATACAAACATATACAAACGAGTGTGTTACATCAAGAATGTTCGGTCCGACTATCAGAGCTGACTGTTGGAAGCTTTCTCCTCCAAAAGGCAGTAGCTGCTCCTATTTATAACTGGGAGATTCCATGCGTGCGTGGGTAAATTACCATAACAGATACATCTGAAGTTATTTATTTACAATATTGACACTCGGACGCGAGTCAAGAGAGTATTAAAGCTTTTAACAGTGATATTGATGGTATATTAAATATGAGTTCAAACCCCAGATCAGGTAAACTCAGATCCAGTGAAAACACATGCAATAAGAGAGCAATACTAAAAACAAGAGCAAAAACAACAACAGCAAAAACAAACAATTAACCAAAAACGATATATCCTTAAATACGTTAAGAGTAATAGTAATATTAGCCGTTGCCTTATAAGGAAACTTTCTGAATTTAATGACCAAAAAGGCAGTGCTATTCATGATACGCTTTTCATCACTCCCTGGTCATCGTGCTGGCATGAAAATGTATTATCTGTTCAACTTATTACTAATAGTAAAGGTAATATTAGCCGTTACCTTATAAAGAAACATTATGTATTCATTTCCGAGCAGCTAGTGCTACTCGAATTACACTTCCTCTTACTAGCCATTTGAGCTTGGATCAATATTTACTATCTCTTCTCATCTCAAACGGTTATGTTAACTGTGGAGTAAATAAGACATCCTTGGTAACACAAAATGAACTAGGCAAGACGCCTTAAATAAAGAACTCAACGAACATCAGAAGAATAGCGGTGGAATCAGTCGATAAGGATTTCTAAACGCGTCATGTCGAGTAGCCTAAGTGAGACATATTATTACAACGGATGGGAGCGAGTGATAACAGTAATATTAGCCGTTTCCTTGTAAGGAAACATGCTGTATTTAGTGACCGATCAGCGAGAGCTACTCATGTTGCGCTTTTCATCACTACCTGGTCATTGGGCTTGAATCAAAATGCATTATCTGTTCACCTTATCACTAATCATAATATCCGTCTGCTTATAAGAAAACATTCGACATTCATAAACCGAGCAGGTATTTCTGCTCCTTTTCTTCTTTTCTTCACGCCATAGCCATCGGACTGGTCTTGGGGTGGTGTTAGTGTTCTCATCTCTAATGATAATGGCAACACTAGCCGTTTCCTTATATGGAAGCTTTCGAGATTCATTGACCGAGCAAACAATGTAACTTTCAGTTAAAATTTATAAAATCATTCTCTTTAAAATATTTTTGAGGAAAAAAGGTTTCTAAAGACCAGTAACTGTTATTGCTCTTTCTAGTACTGAAAATATTCTTTCATCCAGTCTGGAATGTTGGCATTTTGGTTATATCATTATTTTTCTCATCGAGTTATATGTGCTAACCATTTTGGTTGTGGCTGGTTTTGCAAGTCCTCAAGTGATATGGTTTCTCTTATATGGTACAGTACTTTGGGATTCTGTATTGCCATTCTACAAGATTAAAAGAAGGAAGGTCCTCGCTAAGACCTGGAGGCGACAGTCGCTTTAAGTTTTTTATTTAGTGATCTGAGAGAGATGTTTGAAAGAGCTGAAGGTTTAGAATTTCTGAGCGGATTTGAGGCCATGTATGGCAGCTATATGAAAGTCTTAATCTGAAAAGGGTGTTTAAGAAGTGAATTGTTTTGGTGAATTTTACATATTATAACTTCTAATAAAACTATAATTAAAATCGAACTTTTATAAGTCTATAATTCTTAGAGAATTTTTAAACCTATTATTTATGCCGTTTTTTTTTTTTTAAGATTTTTTATTAATATCGGTTTTTAATAGGTCAAAATGATTGGGTTCTTCATTGTCTGGAGCCATTTTTAACGAACTGATATGAGAAGGCGAAGGAAAACGAGATGAGAACAATTTACTTCTGTAAATTTAACAAAGGGTTCAGGTCGAAATTACATGAAGGTTATACAAATCGGCAAATATCTGAAAATGGCTGCCGTGTAGAAAGGTCGAAATCGTGTGAGAGTAACACCAAAGATGGGGACATGCACATAACAAGCATATTTTTCCTTATCCTGAATTGAAAAGTAAACCGATTTCCGACCTTCAGATGAAACTTCCGTCCGGCAAACACATTGACACAGATAAAGCGAAGTTGAAAAAATAAGTCCGGATTATTTGCAGAATAATTCCAATAATCTTCCTCGGGCTAGCGTTTTCCGATGACATGAAGTGTAATGATTATATTGAATCAGTAGCTAGGTCTGGCTGCTAGAGAAGTTCACTGTGCCGTGTTAGTCGATCTTTCCCGCCAGAATCTATCTTACATATTTATATGTCTACCATTCGTTCATGCATTTAATATTTTTGCCACACCTGGTCTGGTGCTTCTGCTACGTATTTACTGATTCTTGATAAAAATAAAAAGATGTGCGTAGTGATAATATGTGCGGAGAGTTGGATCGGCGTGCTGAGTCCAAATTCCCGACTGTGGGATATGCCAGGTGTAAAAGCAAAATTGTCCAAATCGCGTAATAGAAAAATTTCCCACTTGTTAGATTAAGATTCGAACTGTTGTATCTTAGAAATGATTAAAGATATCTTACTGGAATTCTCCGAGGTTTTTATAACACTATTGGAATCTGCTTTGCGCAATAAAAATATATAATAATTCTCCAAGCTTAACAAAAGAATCGTGATGAAATCGATCATAAACGAAAATGACATCTTCATCATTAATTAATCATAGCTAAGGATCAGGAGACACGAAGGACTGAAATAAAGTTCATATATATATATATATATATATATATATATATATATATATATATATATATATATATATATAAAGTTTCTTTTCATTTTTTTGTTTGGAAGTAAAGTCCGATGATCCGCAGTCCTTTTAAAAGGGCTGTGGTGAAATAATTTATTACATGGAACCTTAAAGTGGTCTGTTTTTTTTATTTAAATATATATATATATATATATATATATATATATATATATATATATATTGTTCCAGGATCATTTTTAAACTTATTCAAGATAATCTTCGCCCTCTCTAAGTTTCTAATCTGTCCTGGAGTAACAAGGTGCCCCGCATGTTTCGTGTATGATTTCATTTTCAAGTCTTTTTCACTGCTTTTTGGACTATTATAGCTGAAACACCTCTCATGTGCCAAATGTCATATGGATTGAATTAGATCTTTTCTAATTCATATCTTTAGCTCTAAGTTGAAATGATGCTCCCTCTTCCTATTGTGACCACCTGATCCCGTTTTCCTCTTTACTGTTTCCCCTTTTTTATTTAGCTTCGGATTCATTCTGCAAATTATCAGCTTATTTCCCACAGAGTACATCTGTAGAATCGAACCACAATCACTTCCTCCGTCAACCAAATGTAAGGGGGACGTATTTTCCAAGAACAGCAACGAGTTGGTGTAGCGAATTCTTCTCTGAACACAACAATCTGCCTCCAAGCAAAAATGTCGATATCTAATCCCCTTATCCTCATATTCTTCACTTTTTACCAAATCCTCTTACATTAGTTTAGTTACACTCTACCTTGAAGGATTCTTGAGGCTTATCACTCTCTTCATTTCTGAACTCTTCTGAATAAAAACTGGACATCGTCAGAAGGAAGAGAACAATCTTTAATTACTCATCTTTAAACCAACATTACAGTTCGAAATACAATCAATGGTCACCTGGATCGACATGCACCTGATGAAGGCCGAAGTACACGACGGCTGAAACTTTATAATAACAAAAAGATGATGACAATATTCCGCATGTAAATAATGTAAATAATTCTAAATCATCATTTCATTAATTTATACCAAACTTAATTAGTAAATTTCGATTCTAGTTAAAGTCTCATTTATTTATTTCTTATCGGGAGAGGGGAAAGGGCAGGCTGAAAAATCAATTCGTGTTCTGCTTCTTCTAGTCTTCGAAATTTAGCCCTGCCTATGTTTTCATCCAGTGTTGGCAATCTGAGTCCCTTTTATTTATTTATTTAGCGGGGTGGGCCTGATGTAAGATTTGCCAAGATTCGCTTTCATTCACTCTTTTGACCTGATCTGAAACGAGTTGAATGTCTTGGGTTCCTTTTTATTAGCTGCCAGCTCCACAACTGATTTTGTGATGCCTCAAGGAATTCATTCAAGCATCTCTTCGAGAACATCCTGCACTTCCTAAAGGGCACCCTTTTCAGGAAGCTTGGCAAATCGTGAACTGGGCCCCGGATCAAAAAGAAACCTATGCTTAGAAAGAACTTTTTGGCAAGGTAAATTACTTACGTGACAAGATATGTATAAGATGGAAATAAAGAAGAAGAAGAAGAAGAAGAAGAAGAAGAAGAAGAAGAAGAAGAAGTAAAGATGGAAAAAAGAAGATGAGGCGAAGAAATAGGAGAAAAAAGAAGAAAAGTAAGAAGGAAAATAAAGAGAATGGCAAAGATGAAAAAAGAAAAAGAACAAAAAGGAAGAAAACGATAAAAGAAGAAAACTTTACAAGAAGAAAATGCTATTTGGTTATATTTGGCATTGCATAAAAGAGAAGAAAGAGAAAAAATTAAGAGTAAAAGAAGAAAAACGGGCAGAAAAGATGAAGAAGAAAAAGATGGGAAAGAAGAAATATATAATAATAGAAGAAGAGAAAAGTTGAAAAGAAAGACGACGGTGAAGAAGAAAACGAAGAAAGACAACGAAGAAGCAAAGTAGAAAAAGAAAAAATATATAAGTTAATAAAAAAAGGAAGATAGGAAGATGGTAGAAGGAGCAAATAAGAGCAAAATAAAAATAAAAATAATTGAACGAAAAAGATGAAAAAAGAAAAGAAATTAGTAATAGAAGACGATAGGGAAGAAGACAAACGATGAAGAAAAAAGTAAAAAGAAGATGATGACGAACAAACAGGAGAAAAAGAAGGAGAAGATAAAAAGAAAAAAAGAAGAAGAAGAAAAGTTTGAAAGAGAAGAAAGCAGAATTAAAAGAAGAATGAAAGAAAAAGATAACGAAGAAGAGAAAGAACATGAATGAAATACTATTCAGATATATACGTCAGTGCAAAAATGGAAGAAGAAGAATAGTGAAGAAAAAGAAGAAATCATTATGAGAAGAAAAATAGTTGTAAAAGAAGAAGTAAAAGATAAAAAGAGGAAACGAAGAAGTAAAAGATAAAAATAGAAAAACGAAGAAGAAGAAGAAGAAGGAGAAGAAGGAGTAGGAGGAAGAGGAGGAGGAGGAGGAGCAGGAGGAGGAGTGGGAGGAGGAGTGGAAGGAGGAGATCCGGTTATATTCTGTCGTGCAGATTCTGCAAAAAGGCTTAAACCAGGAGTGAGCAAACTTTTCAGTGCAAGGGCCACATTAAGAAATTCACAACTTTATTAGGCAGCATAATATATCAACCCAAAATAATTAATATTTAAAATAGACAAAAAAGGCTTTTAAAGAAAAAGATGCAATTAATTTTTATTAATTAATATTTTAGAAGATTCACATAAAACTCATTTATTTGAAAGACAACTTAACTCAGTTTAATTACTTTTAAGCAAAAAAAAATATTAATAAGTATTTTTATGCTGAAGATTTATGTGAAACACATTTGAAAGACAAAACAAGTTTGTTTTAAGAAAATATATTTTTATTAATTAATATTATAAAGTAGAAATATTTATTTGAAAAACGAATTAGGTTTGTGTAAGAAATAAAACAGTTCTTACTATTATTTTAAAGTAGAAACTTCAAATAAAACACATATCAAGTAAGTAAACTTAAACAAAAAATAATTTAGATTTTAAAGTCGAAACGTCACATGAAATAAATTTGTTTGAAAACAAAGTAATTCAGTTTAAAGAAAAAAATATTGATATTTTGAAGTAGTAACTTCACATGAAAGAGATTTATTTGAAAAACAAAGTAACTCAGCAACGGAAGGATCTCAATGACTCAATGAGAATAATGCATCTGACTGCAGTCATTTAGTAGTTTGTTAAAATTAGGCGTCAAATTGCTTGTAGCAATTATTTGTCGTTGCTTGGTAACTTTCTTTTTCAAATTTACTAATATTTGCCCACCCCAGGCTTAAACTATTGGAATCGGAATTTATGTTTGACGTCACATCAAAGAAAGTGACTGTCGGATCGACTTGGCCAATCACTGCTTTTACTTTCTTTCTTTCTATTTATGAATTGTCTTCGATCACTTTTGATTCACTGTTGGTGTATGAATAATAATAATAATAATAATAATAATAATAATAATAATAGAGATCTTCAAAAAGCTATCAAGATACAAGGACCTTGAAATCGAAATTTAAAAAATGTGGCACATGGGAACATCAACTATCCCTGTTGTAGTTGGAGCCCTCGGATTGGTTGGAAAGACAGAAAAAAATCCTTTTTCCCATTCCCCATTTTTGCCTTGTGCCACATTTCTGAACATAAGGCAGAATAAATATCGCTCTTTTCTATGTTACCTAGACTTTATGAATTTAAGTGCAGTACTAGATTGGCAACAAGGCTTCATCAATTTACAGTTGAATTAACTAGATGCAGCCGTAAGTTCTATGCTAATGGTTTCTTGTCTCGCACTTCTCTCTTGTGGAACTCTCTTCCGTTTTGGTTTTTCCAGACAAGTTTGGTCTTTACAAAATTAAGTGCAATGTCCATCGTTATGTTCTCCCTTCCTGATTACTCTTTTTTTGTTCTAGCTGATCAATAATAATACTTTTTTTCTTTTATTCCTTGTGTCTTGGTGGCTTTGTACCTTCCTTGAGGCGATTCTGTGTCATTCATCGCAAACATTTTAACAGCAAATTTCGAGCCTTTTATTTTGTGAATTCTTGTTTAAATATAACTCACTAACTGTTTGGCTTGTGGGAAATATGTTTACGTATATCTAACTAATTAACTAAATAACAAGGACGTCTCTTTAGAGTCACCAATAGACAATTCGGTCGCGCATATATTCGGAGACACAAGACGCTATTCTCACTCTCGTAGAACTTGGAAAATTAAGGTCGCATTCGTTGCACAATAAGAATGATTTATTTGCATGGCACCATTGCAACTCAATGTTAGAGGCCTCCATTGACTACACCAAACATCCTACTGCCGATATCTTCACCGTAACACTGGAAAAGGGATGGATTCCAAGTACTATGATTGTTTGGTCTCCTCAGATTTCCTCTTTCTTTCTTCTAGACTGACTGCCAATTATGGCTAAAAACGCGCGTCAGCCTTACTATTCAGATCATATCCACAAGGGATAAGATGAATCGATAACTTTCCAAAGGGAATTTAACTATAAGTGAATACAACAAACACGACTGAATACAAACTTGGTTCTATATCATGTACACAATACGGACATCAATATATATATATATATATATATATATATATATATATATATATATATATACACACACACATATATATATATATATATATATATATATATATATATATATATATATTGTTGTCATCCAGAGGCAGACTGTTTTACTGTATCACAGCTCATCAGTGTGGCTAGACATCCGACTGACTCAAGCCAGGATCGAGACACCACTGGTTTGGCATCAGTCGAGGATTTTATCCCTAAGCTATCGGCTATTTACCTATTTATTTTGAACAAAAACGCCTGTGACACACAGTGCTCGATTCATAAAAGAGCTTTGCATTATCACCGTTAGCAATCACTGTTTACAAATTCGCGTTTTTTCTCTAAAGTACTCGGCCGTAATCTTTTTTTTTCGGGGGCGTATATATATATATATATATATATATATATATATTACATGAATCATTCATACAATAAGTAGATTAATAAAGTTAATTATATAAAATGGCAAAAACTTCTTCGCAAACAATTTTTTTAAAGTTGCATTAACCTACGAATCACTCGATGAATGTTATGATCCTTGTTTTTAATACCTACAAGTTTATAAGGTCTTTTTTTTTAATCTGCTAGTACTTTCAGCTGTACATACAGCCATCCTCAGGCATGAGAATTATTTTGTTTTTAGTAAATTCAGATAGTAGCGGACACGAAAGATCAAATGCGAATCGAAATGTTTTTTAGAAATGTGATATTATTAAAGGATAAAAACTTTTAGAGCGTGCAGTCGAAACCCTAAGGTTGAATTTTGTGTTTTTTTTTTTTACTAATATGGTAATTTGAGATTTTTTGTTGTAGGATTACCATATTAGTAAAAAAAAAGAAAAAACGTACTCTATTACATTTTCAAAAAAAATTCAACCTTATTTTTCTCGGCTATTTTTTTATACACGCGAATAAAGAAGAAATGTCCCTTAAACGGTAATTGTTTACAAAACAACGTAATATACCAGACCACGATAAAATCACCAGATAATGAAGAAAAATTATCCATAGGAATAACTGAATGACACTGGAAACTAAGAAATTATGCACACAAAACATCTTTCACAAATAGTAAATATGCGAACAGCACGATGCTTTCTAAGTATATCTGGGAAATTAAAAACAAAACTCGCATCACACCAAAAATATCTAGGAAAATAAGGAAAAGATCATCAGCCTACAACAACCAATCAAAAACTTGCAAACTTTGTTTGGAGGAAAAAATAGCTATCGTTACCTTCCCAGACTAAAATAAATTATTAAATAAAAGATCCGAGCTCATCTAAAAATGCAGACATGAAAACAAATTTTTACTACGTTACTTAAAAATCCAAAGCTGAAAAATAAAATAAAAAATAAATAAATAAATAAACAAAATGACAATAAAATAAGCAAAATAAATTAACCCAAACAAATCAAATCACACCCGTTAGAATAGACGAAATAGATTAAATAATTAAAAAATAAAAACAAAATCAATGAACCCAAATAAATAAAGTAAATAATAAACAAATTAAGAAGCCATTATGAACAAATATTAGTGAGACTATAAAAATCAAACCAAAACGCAGACAAAAATAACTGCTTAAAATGTTATATAACGATAAAAGAAAAATAAATACTACGTTACTTAAAAATTGAAAACCGAAAAGTGTAAATAAAAATATACAGTATAATTAAATAAATAATAAAAAACAAGTAAAATAAATTAATCTAAATTCATCCCAATAAATAAATAAACTAACAAACCGATCCCGATAAATTTACCGTTACAAAAACAATTAAAGATAATCAATCCAAATAAATACATGAAGTAATAAACAAATTAAAAACTGTTCCCGCCAAAATGATAGTTAGAATATACGACAACAATCAATCCCAAAATTGAATAAATAGCTTTAATTATCTCCCCAAACCAAAAAAAAAAATTTTTGAATAAGCGATATAAACAAATTTCTACTGCGTTAATAAAAACACTGACTAAGAAAAATAAAAAATGAATATATAAGATAAGGAATAAAAATAAAAAATAAAAATAAAAACAAGCAAAATAATTTAACCCAATTAAATAGATAAACGAATAAACAACTTCCAGTCAAATAACCGCCAAAATAGACTACCCACAATGCACCACTGACCCGTATATATAAATGGCCGAGAAAAATAACAGCACTCGTGGCCTGACGATTGCATCTAGCATGAAACAGTCTGTCGCCACTAAGTGTTGACCTCTAAGTTCACTTTTATATTTACACACGCTCTATCGCTGATATTGAGCATTGTAAATGTTGTAGCGGGAGGCAACAAATGACAGGAACGGGTAAAAATGAAGATAGAAGGGAGATATGTCGTTGTATGAAGGGGTGAGTTTTTAATGAAACTGGTCCAAACATCTCTTCTGTCAAATGCCATGAGAATAGATGATCTTTTCAACTACAACTGCTGCGATCGAGTATTACTGTCCTGCATTGGACATATCAGTCACAAACGTGGCTGCAAGCGACGTGTACAGACTCCCTCTTGGTGTTCGTTTTGTGAAGTCAACTCATGATATATATATATATATATATATATATATATATATATATTGAATGAATACATTTTCTATGGAATAATTCCGATTTATTTCGATTTAATATGTTCAAATA